TCTGACTTTCCTGGGCCACATCAAGGAACCTTTTGGCTTCCCTTGGCCACATCAAGTAAAGAGGAATTGTTTTGGGCCGCACATAAATTCTCCCGGCCCTTTATGGAGAAGTTTCCTCAGCCTGGCTTTAGAGGATGGTGATGCTGTGCTCTTTAGGATTCAGGCTCTTGGGAATGAGCTTTCTCAGACATCTATATCTCCATTAAGAAGTGCCTATCCTCTCTAAGTGCAAACTCCCTCTTTGTTGGATGCCATGCTTCTGCGCTTCACGGAGCTAGCTCCTCAGCCACTTCTGTTCCCCATGTCTCCTTCCTGTCATTACTCAAACACAGGGGAGTCCTGGCAAATCTACCAGTGCCTGATCTTTTCGTCTCTTGCCAAATGTCTGGTGTTTGTGGTTCATACCTGGATATTCTACTTTCTTTCCTTATATTTTCCCTCTTCACCTTCTACAATCCAGCTTCTGCCCTTCAGCTAGCCCTTTGGATACATTTCCACTTGAATGTCTTAGAGTGAATGGAATTTTTTTTTTTTTTTGAGTTGGAGTCTCACTCTGTCGCCCAGACTGGAGTGCAGTGGCCGCTCCCGGCCACCGCAGCCTCGACCTGCTGGGCTCCGGCGATCCTTCCGCTTCAGCCTTCCAAGTAGCTGGAACTACAGGCACGCCCTACCACGCTTGGCTGATTTTTTGATTTATTGTAGAGATGAGGTCTTGCCAAGTTGGCCAGGCGGGTCTCGAACCCGCGGGCTCAGGCAGTCCACTCACCTCAGCCTCCCAAGGCGCGGGATTACAGGCTGAGCCACCGAGCCCAGCTGAGTGAATGCAATTTAAGTAACCTACCCACCATCCTCATGTTGCTAATGCTGTGTTATCCTATTGTCTCTAACTGACTGCCGTGCGGCCATCTTGCCCGTTCCCCCATATCTGTTTTGTTACCAAATTCCATCACCTTTTTGGAAATGGCTCTTGAGCTGCCCTCTTCCTCACTTCCATCTCTGGGCTGTTTCCTTGCGGTCTCCCCTTGCAGAAACCATCCTGACGAGGTCTGAGAAAACAACACCCTTCAGGGCATGAGCCTCAGAGCACAAGGCTTGGTCCAGGCCTTCATCACATCATGTCTGAATTACTGCAGTGGCTCCTAACTGGCCTGCCCACTTCCCTCTCTCTTTTCTAATCCACCCTCTCTACCTCACTTTTCAAAAACTGAGGGCTCAAATAGAAGCAGGCCCTTGGCGTCTGCCTCTGTGGTTCTTCCCAGCCTCCTCTCCCAATACTCCCTAATATATTAGGTTGAACACACCAGGCCCCTGTAGGACTCAGTACCTGTATAGGGCTTTTCTTCCCATTTGGAATGTTCTTCTCTGTTTTCTTTGCTTGAGAAACTACTGAAAATCTTTCAAGAGATAGTTCTAATGGCTAGGACTTATAAAAGTAATTTTTTAGCCGGGCTCGGTGGCTCAGTCTGTAATCCTGCGCCTTTGGGAGGCTGAGGTGAGTGGATTGCCTGAGCCCGCAGGTTCGAGACCCGCCTGGGCAGCGAGACCTCATCTCTACAATAAATCAAAAAATCAGCCGGGCGTGGTAGCGCATGCCTGTAATTCCGGCTACTTGGAAGGCTGAGGTGGAAGGATCGCTGAGTTGGAGTCTCACTCTGCCGCCCAGACTGGAGGGCAGTGGCACGCTACCGGCCACCCCAACATCGACCTCCTGGTTTCTGGCGATCCTTCCGCCTCAGATTCCAAGTAACTGGAACTAAAGGCGCGTGCTACCAAGCCCAGCTAATTTTTGATTTATTGTAGAGACGAGGTCTCGCCAAGTTGCCCAGATGGATCTCAAAAAAAGTAGCTTTTAATTGATTATAAATTAAAACACTGATTGCAGAGTATTTGAAGATAATATAGATCAATATTATATGACCTAATTCACAAACCATTTTAATATTACAGACAACTTTTATTTTTATAATAAACTTGTCAGTTCTTCAAAAAAAGAATTTAAAAAAGTAGTTCTAACGTCATCTCTCTAAAAAAAGCTTTCCCCAGCAAATTTCAATGTCCTTAGAGCTCTTGGTTCATGCATGTAAAATACTTTACATTATATGTATTTATGAATCTTTTTTCCTAATCTGTTGGCTCGTCAAGGATATATATATATATATATAAAATCTTCCTCATATTTGAATACCCAGAGTCTAGCACAGTGCCTGCTGGTACAGAATAGGTGCTCAATAAATGTTTCTTGAGGGATCCTTTGATGTGTCCCTCTACTGCTGAAAACTGACACTGAGTCTCTATTTCCTACTGCATTAAGTTTAAGGCAGTGGTTATCAAGCATGGCTGCATATTAAAACCACTCAGGAAGCTTTTAAAGAATGCTGATGTCCAGGTCCCATGGCCAGAGATTCTGATCAAGCGGGTCCCAGGCACTGACATTTTGTAAAAGCTCCCCTGGCAATTCTGATGTTCAGCCAAGGCTAGACACTAGTCTTGTATCTAGTTTCCAAGGATTTCATTCATGTCTCTATCTCCTCAGGAGTCTTTTAGGAGCTCTTACCCATGACCCTTCTGTACATGTCACTCATCCTTAGAGCCCTCTCTTGCTGCAGATTGCTTGTCATTCAGGCCACTCTTTTCTCCCCACCCAGATGGGAGGGTCCCGAGGGCAGGAACCCTGTTGCTTTGCATCCCCAGAGCCCTGAGCACAGGGCTGCCAGTAGTACAGAAGCTCATGGAGGACCTGTGGGCTGGTTCCTTGAGGTCTCCCCTTGCAGAAACCATCCTGGCGAGGTCTGAGAAAACAAATACCCTTCAGGGCATGAGCCTCAGAGCACAAGGTTTGTTTTGGTTGGACGGGGAGAAAGAACATCGGTGAGATGGTGCCCAGCCTGTCTTCCCCAGCATGTGAACAGCAATAGCTTTCCTAAACCAACAAATGACCCCACACTGGCAGAGGAGATTTGCTCTGATGGTCAGCAGACATGAAGCCCTGTTTCCTGACCTACAGTCTGGTCAGATACTCTTCTTATGGAGGTGGGTGGTATAAGATAGTGGATGGGGCACTGGCTGGTGTCTGAAGACAATTCCAGACTTTGTCTTCTGTCTGTCATCTGGGGGTGTGTCTCCTCTCGAGGGGCCTGGGTCTGCCCCTGAGGTTTCTTACACTTTGAACAGTTGCTGGATTTTTCTGTTGCTTAGCTAGTCCAGGAGCTCCCAACTGCTATAAACCAAGGGCTACTTGGAAGGGGCAAAAGATGGCACAGGCCACATGTTCTCAGTACTTTGGGAGGCCGAGACTAGAGGATCACTTGACACCAGCAGTACAAGACCAGCCTGAATAACATAACAAGATCCTGTCTCTACAAATACACATGCACACACACACATGCACAATTTAAAAACAGATAACCAAGTACATCACAATGTTGCTGTTAGTTGTTTTTTGTTTGTTTGTTTGTTTGTTTTAGTTGTAGTCTCACTCTGTCGCCCAGACTGGAGTGCAGTGGCATGCTCCCAGCCACCGCAGCCTCGACCTGCTGGGCTCCGGCGATCCTTCTGTCAACCTTCCAAGTAGCTGGAACTACAGGCGTGCATGACCATGCCCGGCTAATTTTTGATTTATTGTAGAGATGAGGTCTCGCCAAGTTGCCCAGGTGGGTCTTGAACCCACAGGCTCAGGCAATCCACTCGCCTAGGCCTCCCTAAGTGCTAGGATTACAGGCTGAGCCACTGAGCCCAGTCAGTTGTTTTTTTTTTTTAATAAGATAAATCAATACAGTTCCTTATTTTTTGCATAACACTTAAAACATTTTTTTCTCATGTCCATCATTTTATTTGATTGTCATAGTTACTCTGTGACCAATAGCAGGTATTACTGTTCATATTTTGCAGATAAGAAATTGAGACTCACAGAGGCCAATTGATTGGTCCAAAGTTGTAGAACTAGAGAACAGAGAAACAGAACAAGGACTCACGTGTTCTGTCTCCTACCTTTAGTCCCTTCCATGAAAACATCCTACTTAACTATCTTCATCTTTCCAAAAGGACATAGTTGTCTTTTTTCTTTCCTTGTTGTAACAGTAATACACGCCATCAGGAGATATGTGCATGAATGTTAATGGCAGCACTATTCATAGCACTCCAATGCCCATTAACAGTAGAAGGGAAAATAAATTGTGGGACCGCCCCACAATGGTACTGTCCAGCAAGGAGAATGAAGAGTCCATAACCACACTCACCACTACATTCACTTCACGCTCAGTAATACAAAGTGAGACAAGAAGAAGAGTAGAGACTCCCAGAAAAAGGCCCATGGAGGAGACACCTGTGAACAGCGACAGCAGAAAAGCAGAAAGAGGGTCCCAGGAGCTGTCGGGGAAGGTGAACACGTCTTGGAATGTGGAGTAAAAGAAGCTAGACACAAAAGAATCCATACTGCAGCATTTCACTGACATCAGATACAAGACCAGAGATTTTGTCTTTATCAAAGACACTACTCTATGCTGAGTGAAGGCAGGGCAGTGGCGACCCAAGTGAGGAAGAATATTGGAAGGGAATGTGAGAGGTGGCTACACACGTGTGTGAGGGACATAAGTGATGCCAGTGTGGAGCTCTGTTCAGTATGTTTATGGCACAATATGTACACTTTTTTCCCCATGAACATCATATTTTAGTAAAAGTTGTAGATAATTATACATGCTTTTGTAAGAAATTCAGACAACGCAGAAAAGTACTAATATTTTTCAACCGATTATAAAAATAAAAACCAGAGAACGTTAAAGTATATTCCACAAACCTAAGTTTTTAGTTCTGTGTAAATAGTCAATTAAGGAGAAGAAACAGAAAAGGGATGAAGAAAAAATTGGGAGCAAGCTGATTGGAAGAAAGGCATAAAATGGAGAGGAAAGAGACGGAGAGGCAGAAGAGTAGCTGGACTGGGGGTTGCTCAGTGACACAAAGTGAGACTTGAAGAAGAGTAGAGACTGATACCCAGAGACAGGCCCATGGAGGAGATACCTGTGAACAGCGGCAGCAGAGAAGTCACCAGAAAGGGAGCCCCAGGAGCTGTCAAGGAAGATGAACACATCCAGACTCACAGAGCCAGTGAGGTAGAGAGGCCTGGCCAGGCGAAAACGTGAGAGGGAAGCTTGTTGAGCTGGGCTGTGTAAGGGGAGGAAGTTATCGCTGCTTTTTGAGAGTTGGGAGCTTTGCAGTCATGTGGATACATTACATTCTTGATCAGGTCCTGGCACTTGGGAGGTGTTCGACAAATACTTATCGACAGTTTGATAGGACAGTTCACTCTGCTCACCATGGGAACCTTACGTCTGGGCTGTCTGTTCCTTCCCTGGGGCCCTGGACACTTTGCCCAGTGTCGTGGCATCCCAGGAATTTCCCTGCCTGCACTGGGAGGATGTTTCACGCTGGAAGGTTTTGCAAAATAGGACTGCTTTATCAGAATCCTGTTGCATTGGAGAATGTTCCTGGCTCGTTGACGTTTACAGTGTGTAACCGATTTTATCGGAGGAATGTTGTTTGGAATGGAATGGAATGGTGCTTTCAGATGGGCAGACAAGTAACGGAAGGTCATTCGAGGACCCGCCCCAGGCTGTGGAAGTTGGAGCTCAGGGTTGCTGTCCGTGATGCTTGGGAGCCTGGCCAGACCATGAGCAACCCTTCCTCCCTGGAGGAGGTCCCAGCCAATGTCCAGAGGGACTGCTGTTACAGTCTCACCTTGGCCCTGCAGGGCAAACACTCCAAGAGCCCAGCACGATGGGTGAAGAAGCAGCAAGGGCTCCCTAGGCCCAGGGTCCAGCAAACACCCCAACTCAGCCTGGACAAAATAACGCCATTCCTGGCATTCCAGAAATAAGACAATAAGGCTTCTTCAGAATAGGGAAATGGGTTTATTCCTTCAGTTCTTTGGTGAAAACCCCAAGGCACTCGGCTGCCTGGAGCTCTGAACAGAACAGTGCAGGTGGAGCATGTATGCATGGGAGGCTGGAATTCTGTCTCTTCTATCACAGCCCAGGTGCTGTCAAGGCCAACTCTGCAGCTCCTGTCTGCAGGGGTTCTTCAAGGACCTTTGGGCAGAGATAGGTACTGGATGGGATGCAGAGGAGACTGAGAAGGGAAGGAAGGAGTCAAGAGAGGGCAGAAAGCCTGGCTCGGTGGCTCAGTTTGTAATCCCAGCACTTTGGGAGGCCGAGGCGAGTGGATTGCCTGAGCCTGCGGGTTCAAGACTAGCCCGGGCAACTTGGCAAGACCTACTCTCTACAATAAAATTAAAAAATCAGCTGGGCATGGTAGCGCACGCCTGTAGTTCTGGCTACTTGGAGGGCTGAAGTGGAAGGATCACTGGAGCCCAGCAGGTTGGGCTGCGGTGGCCGGGAGCGTGCTACTGCACTCCAGTCTGGGCAACAGAGTGAGAATCCAACTCAAAAAATAAAAAGAGAGAGAGGGCAGAAGACTCTGTTCCTGGTGGGAGGGAAATCTGCCCTGCAGCGGGAGAGGGCTGAAGTGCCCAAGTTACCGCCAAGGATGCTGGTCAGCAGAGAGGAACAAGTCGGGAATGGCTGATGCTGCAGGTCACTCTCCACAGTGGTTCATTTTCACCAGTCTCTGTGGGCCCATGACATGGCTGGGCATGCTGGGATATTTCTCTCACTCTCTATAACTATTTCTAAATATCTTCATTACAGTAGATAAAATTATATCCTCTCTAAAAGATATGTTCAAATCCTAACCCTCAGTATCTGTCAGTGTGACCTTATTGGAAATTAGGATCTTTGCAAATGAGATCATATGAGATTATAGAGGCCCCTAAACCCAATAACTATTATCCTTATAAGAAGACCAGGCGTGGTAGCTCACACCTGTAATCCTAACATTTTGGGAGGCTATGGCGGGAGGATTGTTTGAGCCCAGGAGTTCGAGACCAGCCTGGGCAAAATAGTGAGAACTTATCTCAACAACAAAAAAAAATTTTTTATTTTTTAAAATTATTTTTATTTTTATTTTATTTTTTAGAGTTGGAGTCTCACTCAATCGCCCAGACTAGAGTGAAGTGGCCGCTCCCGGCCACTGCAGTCTCGACCTGCTGGGCTCAGGCGATCCTTCCGCCTCAGCCTTCCAAGTAGCTGGAACTACAGGCATGTGCTACCACGCCCGGCTAATTTTTTTGATTTATTGTAGAGATGAGGTCTTGCCAAGTTGCCCAGGTGGTTCTCGAACCCGCGGGCTCAGGTGATTCACTCACCTCGGCCTCCCAAAGTGCGGGATTACAGGCTCAGTCACCGAGCCCAGCCTCAACAAAAAATTTTTAAAAACTAGCTCGGCATGGTGGCATGTGCCTATAGTCCTAGCTACTTGGGAGGCAGAGGTGGGAGGGTCATTTGAGTATAATCATGCCACTGCATGACAGAGTGAGTCCTGACTCCAAAAAAAAAAAAAATTGTGTTAAGACAGACACACGCAGAGTGAAGAAGGCTATGTGATGATGGAAGCAAAGACTTAAGTCAAGGAACACCAAAAGATTGCCAGCCACCACTGGAAGCTTGGAAGGGGCAAGGAAGAATTCTCTTCTGGAGCCTTCAGAGGGAGCATGGTTCTGCCGATATCTTGATTTCAGAATTCTAGCCTTAAAACTGTAAGAGGATAAATTGCTGTTGTTTTAAACCACCAAGTGTAGTCGGGCTCGGTGGCTCAGCCTGTAATCCCAGCGCTTTGGGAGGCCGAGGTGAGTGTATTGCCTGAGCCCGCGGGTTCGAGACCCGCCTGGGC